GCTTCTCTCTACTCCTTTCTTTCACTTCACAGCTTCAAATGGCAACTACGTGAGCGCACCAAGAGTGGCACAGAAAGTTACAAGTGCTGTCAGACGGGGGGGTCACTCTGTGTATTTTAGGTTGTCAGGTGTTAGGGGCGAAGATGAGGGTAAAATTCAAGAGATGACGGGTTGAAAAGTGACAGTGAAAACGCATTGCCTCTCTGTTTTCCTGCAGGGCCGGTTAGTGACGCGTGACAGCAGAAAGGTCCTTCATGCATGTTACACACACTCCAGCAACTACTGTTATAGTTAAAGCTGCCGTCATCTTCTTCAGGATGGCTTCCTGGCTCTTTTAGTAAACAGGTATTTCAGAGTTGTCAATTATATCCCCCGCCTGGACTTCCAGTGTCAGTGCTCGAGCTTGTGTGACAGTAGAGAAGACGTCTCCAGGCTGAACGACCCTGCTGTCCAGCTCGCTGAATTGACCGGGACCTGCTTCCTTCCTGCCCAGAGATTGGCAGAGATGTGGGTTCAAAGAGGGGCGACACGCCACAGAAGACAAAAACATCCATGCCGATATCGGTCATTTCATCGCATCCCTTATGTGTCCACGTGAGGAAAGGATAGAAGAGTGAAAATAGTTGTTTTATTAAAGTTCACGATCACTACCTAAATGTTTCTTTAACAGCTTCATTGTCTATATAGTAGGCTTAGGGTGGTTTGGGATTTATTTTCACGCATAAACAGGTTTCAAAAACATCCGACCCGCTGATCTTTTCACAAAATGTCACCCCGCAAATCAGCGAGGTTATGGCCACAGAAGGCGCTCTCTCTTTCCCTCTGATCTATTGGCAAGTCTGTGGACTACAGCCTGCAATGCTTCCCGTAGATACCCGCTCTAATTAAAAAGAGCAGACGGGTATAAATGGTTAATCGTTAATCACCATGGGAGAAGCACACATAAGAAGAAGGAATGTGTACCTTTAGTCAACTATAAAGATTAATTCCTAAATAAAGAAAGGCTCTGGTGCAGTGATGACTATGATCTGCCTCAGCTGCAGATAACACTGCGACAGTTGAGTTATCTTAGAATAAATTCAACGAAGTATCCCCGAGTTATGACACTGAAAATGTTGCCTCTTCAGTACTATTCCTTTTTAGCAATCCATTTTTATAGCGCACAGCATATTTGTACTGGGGTGCAATCAAGGATAAGAAACCAGTAAAGCACACTGCGGTAACGTGTGGATGTATTGATGGTTTGATCTGTTACGCCTTTATCACAAACATTCCTTATCTAACAGCTGTAACTCCCTTTATCTCACATTGTACTGTGAATCCAGGCATTCAGGTGATAACGGCTCTTCACAGTCATTGAGCTATGCATCCCAAGAAAGTACTCCGCTAAAGAATGATACAAAAAAAAAAATATATATATATATAGTATATATTATAACATATCCTTCACCTTTGAAAAACTCTAAGTAAGGATAAAGATAATATTTCACTGAAAGAAAAAAGATCTGTCAACAAGACGCTTTCAAAGTCCAGATATAGTTCAGGAGCTTTGCTCCCAAAGCAGCTACATGTTGCAACTAATTGCCTAAGGAGATGGCATCCTCCAAAATAACCAAAGACAACAACTTCTTGTTTATTGTCTCATGTCTGTTCCACTTGTGTGGTTGCTTCCTTTGTCGCACTTTGCAGTCTTTCACCACACTATTGTGAAAAACAAGGACACCAGGAATAAAGTATGTTATTAATCGACTATTATCAGATTACTTATCCTGACACTATTTTTTGTCCAACTCATATTGTTAAGTGTTGTGGTCACCCGTCTTTAACATTCTCCGAGCTCAGCTCTAACCTTTCAGAGCTTAAGTGCTGCGCTGTAAGTGCACTTTCTATCGGGTCCAACCAAGTGGTGCAGGCAATAGCCTAATTCACCGCAGCGCTCAATCAATGACACCCGATGAATATGCTGGGTATGCACAGTTCTCCATCATGCAGAAGACAACTTCAGAGGGGGCTCCGAGCAGAAAGGACCTGCACCACCCTTCTACCGAGTCCCAGCAGGACGGCGCTACTTTGAGATGAAGCGTTTGGGCACAAAGATGCATCTGGTTCCATGCGTCAACCGCAGTTTGACATAAAGGGTGAAACCCCAAAAATGTTGCTATGACAGTCTGTCCTTCGAGAGAGTGTCACTTGAGGTTTGTACTGCTCCAAATACAGTACATTAGGGGGAAATATCACAAGCAATCGAATGCAATTTGGCGGTAAAAACTGGATCTTATTCAATTTAAACGGAAATGTAACATGATTAAATATACAGTGCAAATACCTAAAAATGGATCTGCCACCTATGAACACACATATGTTCCCAAAAAAGGTGAAATCAAAGCAGACCTTTATCGCTGGTCATTATTACCAATTAATCTGTACAATCAA